GAGCGCCCCAAGTCCATGAGCACAGATGGACTGATGTCTCTGGTCGGAACCAAATCGGGCTGAAGCGACACCTCAGAGGAGCTGGGGGTTGGCCGGAAGAGTGAGACCAGGCAGAAACATTGAAAGGCAGACACCAGTTGACCCCTTTTGTCATTTCCAACCCCAGGGATTTATTGGGATTCAAAGAGACAGTACGCTTTTAATGGTATTTCGCTAAAGAAGGTCCTTTTAAATTGTCACACCGATAGTGTTAAACTGCGTTTAGTTAACCACTGACAAGTTTCCCCCATCATGTCTGCATGTTTGGAACTTGAGAGCAACAAACTTCAAACATGCACACATGTAACCTTGAGTGGGCTCAAACTATTTTTCCAGTCCAAGTCTGCAAGCATCTGTAAGATTTTCCCCTGAACGCTGTGTGCATGGTTCACATTGAGCACGAAGTCTGAACTTTGAATAGGTAGTGGCATTCAAAGGGAATTGTGGGAGTGAACCACACTTCCTGGATATTTTGTTAATCTTTTCTCAACTTTAAATTATTATTATTTTTTTAAAAGAAACACACATCAAATAGCAATGTTTTTGTTCTATGCAATCTTATTTTCCCTTTACATGTAATTAGTGTGTTTCACTCCCACATTTGAACACTCCAGTTTAAAATAAATTAATGAATAAGGTCCTAAGCAGTAACCCAATATGTAATCTATTAAAGATGTTTAATTTTATAAGACTCAGTTAAAAGATACTGCCCCTTTAAATCTTTGATTGCCCCTGTTTTCTCCTGCTTGTTTTTTTTTTCTCTCTCTTTTAAACAAATGACCTCTGTTACCTCTATGATCAAAATGCCTGTCTGCATAGAAACATCTTTGTTTTTCCTTTTTAATATTTCAGCATTTAATGAGTTTCAACTGAAGGCGTCTTAAGATGAATGTGCACAAACAGTACAACAAAAAAATACCACAATTTGACTAAAAACGGTGTTGTAGTTGCCTGTAATAAATCCTTAAGAGCAAGCTTGGGATGACAGGGAGGCTTTGTAGTTGTCTTTTAATATGTGAAGTAATCTGCACATGAGAGCGCTTTGACATCAACTACTCCAAATAAAAGCACTTGCTTGACTGGGTCCCCGAATTTGTAGCCGTAGAACCTTTTATCCGGGTTGATTGTGTACCTTTTGTGTTGAAAATGTAAAGAGAGTAAGTAAACTTCATGTTCTCATTTTGTGGTTTTATTTATACTTTGTGTACATAGGTATATATATGTATAGCTTGAATGTATGAGCTCCATGCGATCACCTGCTTGTTATAACCACAATGAGTTCCACAGTTTACCAATGATGTAATAATGGCGTCCGGTCCCACTGGCCACCGTCTCATTCTGACAATGAACAAAAAAAGAAAAACTGCAGCTATCTTGTAAATATAGTTTCTTGCTTAGCTGGTGCTGGTTTCTTTCTTTTTCTCTCTTTTTTTTTCTTTTAGCTTTCAAGCTTGCTCTTAAGTTCTGGGTTTGTCAACACTCCATGTTTGTGAAGTTTCTGTTCCTGCATATATTTTTCTTTTTTCCCTAAAAACTTTCAGTTGGTAGTTCACACAGGCGTTTGATTCAGTACCATCAGGTTTAATCTGGCGTCGTCTTGTGTTATTTTATTTTTTTAATTATTTTTTTCATGTTCTTCCATGCTATTGGCTGGATGTTGACACTTGGTTATTTTGATCGTAGAGGGTTGCTAAGGTTGTACGTAAGTGGGAAAAGTGATTGCAGGTGCTTTCGTTGGCGCCATGCTTTAGAGGATTGAGCTAAACGGGTCAAAGTGGGCAAAACAATAAGCGTAAAAAGCGATTGTTGAAAAAGCTAACAAAAAATGAAAAATAAAGGTTTTTATTAACATTTTTGTGTCCTTTCTTGGGTTTTCATATGAAAACTTGCTGCCCTAAAACTACTTATTTGTTTACATGGTACAACTACAAAAATTAAATATATTGAAATGTTTTATGTGGTAGACCAAGACAAAGTAGTATATAATTTTGATTTTGAAAGAAATTGATGCATGGTGTTTAGAACTTGTTTATCCAAAAAAAGGTGATATTCATTTAAATTAAACTCTTAGTTAATAGTCTTTAATAATTCAACCTTTACTGCAGCATAGCAGAAGTCTTTATGCTAATTGCTTTTTAGCTCAAATTCAATGAACAGCAACATAAATTCAAGTTTCTCAATTTAGGCTAATAAGAAATACTGGAGCTCAGTTTAGGTCAAACATGCTTTTGATTTAAATTAAATTTTAAAGAGTCTTAATTAGTGAAGATTTTTCTTCAAACAGATTGTAGATTCTGATGACTGGAAGGATCTAGCAGCCAGTATTACAGCAAATCTGAAGAAGCCTCTGACTAAAGACACTTTATAATGGTGTCAAGAAGAGGATTGTCTGTAATTTTTTTGTTTTTTTGTATAAAATCCTTCTTCATGCCATCATCTTCCTGTCTTTTAGCCTGGGATATTTTATGAGGATAGAAAATTAAACTTTGGTCTTCCAACTTCCTACATGTCTTGTACCAAACTGCAAAAAATACTTTGTATGGAAATACTTTCATGATTTTAGTTCCTGAAAATATGATCAAAGTCCATTTTGCCCATTCTTTGTTTACTTCTGGAAGCAGTTGGTTTTATTTTCTGATTTTAAACAAATAAAAATGAATACAAATGTATTCCACTTTTTTTTCATTTTGTTTACCAAAAAAATGCTTTTTTAAACATTTCATCCATCGATTGTCTGTCGTAACGGCTTTTAACCGGCTAAAAATGATAAAGAACTAACTAATACTTTTAAATAAAAATATAACAAATGTCACTTAGTTCTATAATAATCATATTAACATTTCACAACAAAATTACATGAAAACCATTAATATTTTATTTTTGTTATGATTTCCTCAGAAACTGTAACTGCTCTCATTTTGCAGAAGCTTTATTTTTCTTTACTTTAAAACCTAAAAGTAGAAATAAAATGGTTTTTCTTTGAAACATTACAGCAACTTTCCCACAGTAGGTCTTTAAAAAAATGTTCTTATGAACCTGTGGCTCTAAATGAGTTTTATTTAGCTGGATGGGGGCAAAAATGGATCATTGAAGAAACTTTTTTGAAGCAACATACATGAAGGAGTATTTTTGAAATCTCTTCTTGTAATTTAAAATCATTTAATTTGGGTTTTAGCCACTCATCTTAAAGGAACTAAAATGTTAAAATCCTGCAGCTGTTTGTGTGCTCACACCCACACAAACGAGAACCTCTTGAAATATGATCCACCCTATGACTGGTTCTGTGTTTACTCTTTATTCTGATCTCCATCACTGTGAACATGGAAAGCAGAATGTACAAATGCCCACCTCTCACATGAGCCGTTATTAATAACTGCCCCACATACCTTAACCCCACTCTGGTTTCTTGGTGGTGAGCTGAACCTCTCTGCTGTAAAGGAACCTCAGTCCGAAAAGGCACCCAGTTAAATATTTACTCTGCAGGTGGAGGAAAACTCCGGCCACATGAAACGTTTTGAACAGCAGCACTCAATCTAAAATAACCACATTATTTTAGTCTGTTTTATGACTGTCCAGAACTAGTTGGTTATTTGGGGTTGTTCCAAAAAATGTAAATATTTAAAAAAATAAACTCACACAATGTATGAATGTGTAAATTCATTCTAGTATTGCTTTCAAGGCCTTATTTCTTGTATATCTCTTAAAGCAGACGTGGGTCTAGGATAGCTGAAAATTGCAACATATTTTTACTCATGTAAAAGTAAAAAGTAGCTGAGACTTTGATCAGGTAGACTGATCCAAACATCAAGCATTTAATCTGTAAACATTGAAATATTTTCAAATTCAAAAACACTTTATTAATCACAAAGGAAAATAAAAAAATTAAAAGATTCAAATATAAAGTCATATATATGAATATCATATGAAATATGAAAATAATTTGCATAAATAACATAACTACAAAGTAACTAAATTAGACAACAGAAAAACAATCCAAATCAATTTCATTTGAAATAAAAGTTGTTAAAAGTTTACAAAACTTTTAATAAAATGAAATTTTAGTTAAGGCAAGTTTGTAGAATACCAAGAAATTTTACTCAGGTCAGAGGAATAGCATTAGTGTAGTAAATGTAAAAGTATAGAGTTGTAAAAACACTTGTAAACATAAATTTTCCTGAATTTATATGCAAAAATATATTGTGTTCTGTTCAATGGGATCATGGGAAAAACTCTTGACTTGACTTTCGTCCAGCAGACAGTCATTGGTGCCCGAAGGTCACAAAAGGTCATTATTGCTAAATAAACCTTTAATCTCAGAATTTTGACTTTTTAGAATTCTGATTTTTTTCTCAGAATTCTGAGATGAAAGTCAGAACTATTTTATTCATCGTTTTTTTTTTTTTGCAGTGGCCCTAATCCTCTTCTGTATGTTTGCGTTCAATATTAGCGCAAATAAAACATTAAAAAAAATAGCCCAAAATTTAATAATAGATTTTTGTCAATGCATGCCACTAACAAAAAACGTATTATGGACTAAGCATCAATTTGTGGAAATCTTTGTTGACCAACCAATTAATAAATTAACCATAATAGTGATGTGAAAGTGATGTTATTTTCATTTTACAAAATTTTAACCAGGATGAAGCTAAAACTGCCACTTCCCAAGTTTGGAATAACACATATTTATATATATATATTTGTAATCTTAAATGTATTTACAATATATATATATATAGATATTGTTTGAGTCTATATATCTCCCAGTCAATGATTATTCAAGTTACCAAATTAGTTGATTATTTCAATAATTGATGAATCATGATTATTTTTTTCCTACCGTACATGGAGACTTTCCAACAGGCTGATTTTTTTGTATATGTCAGTGCAAATTTAGTAAATCTGCTTTTTTGTTAATCAGCTTCGTTTATCAGAACACAAAAAAATAAGCCACAGATGATGGATGGTTTTGCAGCATTTTATTCTACAGTTCACCAGCATGTTTCAAAATAAGAATGAAGATTAAATAAAATATCATGGTCCTAATCACCTCCAGAAGATGGACAAATACAATAGTCTAATAACGAGGGAAACATTTTCTGTCTGTGCAACGTTTTCATTTTTAGCGTCATTTTACTTCAATTTAAAAAAAAAAAAAAAGCACCACAAGATGTGATAGCATGAAATGGCATTTTCATTTTCCATCCTTTAACTTTTATATAATTCTATAAAATAAAATTTGGCAAATATAGTTGCAGTTTTCTTTTTTAAAATTTTTTCTCATGAACACTTTTACAGTACACTCCAGCATTTCTACAACTTAATTCAGTTATTTTGTGCAAAGTTCAACTCCCACCATCTTAAGCTGCTGTTTTCTACAGCAGTATTTTTAAATAAGGCATAATATAAAATAAGAGGCGAAGTCCTGATACAATCCTCACAGCACAGCAGCTATAGGCAAAAGCAAATTTTCCCCAAACCCGTTTGATTGTGACAGTCGGCTACTAATGAAGCATATTTCACTTTAATACTGTTCCTGTGACGACGCATGGAACAGTATTGAATGCGCCCTCCCAAAAAAACAAAACACCTACTGCAAAATAAATAAAAAACATAACAATTTGAAGCCACAGCACTACTTTCTGATGAATATATTGAAATCTCCATTTGCAGGGGGGACAAATGGTCAAAGTAAAGGCAAAGAATGTGCTTTCATAGAATATAGTGTGATCAGCTGAGCTTTTCATGATGTGTTCAGTTTCTTCAGATTATTTGGGCGCATGAAACTTAAGCACAGATGTGTTGCACAAAAAAAAGAAAAAAGTTTTGAATTAAAAGTCAATGTTACACTGGTAACATGGTGTTTTAATGATTTACTGTTAACATAAATACAGCTGTAACTGCATGAAGCTAGTGCAACGGTGGGTTCTGCTAAAAAAAAAAAAAACTAAGCTGGAGGTAGACGGACAGCAGACAGACTGAAGGAGAGAAAACTTGAGGTGGGATTTCCGACACGAAGAGTTATGGGTCCATTGCGGCTGCAGTGTCTATACAGGTGAACGCAGGGCGGGTCATGCAGGTCAGAGTGCAACAGGGCTGAACGTCGGTGTGGTTTAAGGCCGGACCAGGAAGGATGCGCGCGGCCGCCGAGATCACGTCTGGTGCACTTCGTGAAACATCAGCTCTCGCGGGATTCGAGTCTCTGGGCCGAAAATCTTACAGGCTCGCCGCTCAAACGCGGCGACGTTCTGCTTTACGACTTCGTCGAAGAACATGGTGGCTAGCTGGGAGTGGAGCAAAGACCGGAACTCAAAGGATATCTGGGAAAGAAAAAGAAGAAGAAGAGTTAGACACCGCATTACGGAGATAAGGCCTCGTTTTGCTTCACCAAGTGATAAAAGATAAGGCTGCACCTCTTGTTTCAAACTGAACTTATAAAGATGCAAAAACCTTTCTGAGGCTGTCATACAAATTTTTATCTCATTTCATTTTGATGCAACCATTTTTGCAATTATTCTGTTCTATGATAAACCATCTAATTTCCCCCCTCAGGATTCCCTTAAACTGTGTAACATGTAACAAGTGAGAGCTACTATTTCTGCTCCAACAAGTTTAATTTTCTTCATTTTATTTTTCTATTCATTTTTATACAGTACAGGAGCATCACTGTAAAATAGGACACCATCAAAACGTTGATTTATTTCACTAATTTGAATCAAAAAGTGAAACTCTTATGGATTCATTGTAGTATTTCTATTCATTTGGATGGTTACGTCTCAAACTAAAAACTCAAAATTCAGTTTCTAGGAAAGTTTTAAATTATATTTTTCTTATGAATGATAAAAATAAAGTTGAAATATTAGGGGAATTAAGTAGCAATTTTACAAGAACCAGACAAATGCCTTTTTTTGTAATTCTAAAGACATTCTTCTGGTAAAATTGCATCTTTATTCTGCTAGTATTATGACTATTATAATCAAACAAAGATTTTCATAGCCTGGCGCTGATTCTCCAGTGAAAGCCACATTTTGAAAATATTGTCTTTTGTAATTAATCAGAAATCGGCTCTGGTATGAAAAAAGCAAAGTAGTTATGTAATATACACATTACAGAGCTACTAACCAATTTTCCCACATTTATAATAAAAAAATCTTTTTGACCAACTTTAAGAAAGAAGATAGTGAAGCATTTTTTACAGTGAATACTTACAGAAAAGTCTACAGTGCAGGTGCGAGGGTAACCGGGAATGCCAGGACTAAAGCGCCATATCGTCTCCAAGTGATTGAACAGTTTTCCATCTGTACACACAGCCTAAAGCGAGACAAAAACACCATTACAAACACCAGAAAGTGCGGCTAAATGAGGCGTCTATGCAAGAGTTTGTAGTAACGTTTTAACTTCTCATCATATTTTAGCAGACAGATATCAATGCGTGTTAGATTAAATATTTCACACTGCTCCACCAGTAAATCCTTACTTTGACTAGATGAGGTCTGACACTAGTGATCATGGATGTGTATCGCTCCACCACGGGGGGAATCCCACTTCCAGCTGGGCTTTCGAGTGACCTGCCCTCTTCATGATGGTCTGGGACTTCTTACACCAAGGCACAAAGTGCTTGTAGTCGTCGACGTTGGCCACCACATCATACATTTCCTGCATGGAATAACTATGAAAAAAAGAATTACAAGGTTAAGAAGTGATATTTTCTTATTAAATGGTTTTTAATAAATCTGTCATATTGTGACAATAAAACACGGTAATCTGAAAAGATCGATCCCCTTCAACTCCTCCTTGTGCTGCCATTTCCACAGTGACCACTTCCACACTGAGGAGTGTTGTGGTTAGCACAAACTAACAACAACAGTCACTCAGTTCTCCTGTACTCTTAAGGGCATTTGCAATGTGAAGCATTCAGTGATTGGCAAACCTCCACTAACTGGTTAACGCACCAACAGCAGAGTTAATTTTATGCTCAGGACAGTGGCATTTTCGCAAAGTTTGAAAACGTTTAAGTGCACTTCGCTTCACCCAAAGTAATTCTTCCAGGAAAATTCTACAGCACTAATATATTTGCCTGTTTAGTAAATAACCAATCAGAGTTAGGAGGAAAGACTTAATGCTGTCAATCAACCTTGTGAAAGTGTTAATGGCGGAGGAACAAGTCATCATTTCTGGTTAGCACTGGGACAAGGCAGAAGAGTTACACTTTTATCTGTCTCATTCTGTAGTGTCACAACATCGTGAAAGTTTCAACAAAACAAAACAAAAATATATATATCATAAAACTTAAATACTGCAGCTTTAAACAATAACACACTGGAATATTACCCAAGTATTCGACGCTCTGAGTACTCCTTCCTTTTGTTAGTGAGGCTGATGAAGTTTCTGCTCTGGGGGACAGTCGTCATCGTGTCCCACTCTTGAAGGCAAAGCACCTTGGGACTTCTGGTCATCAAAATGCCACATGAAGACAGGTGTCTAGAAGGTGGAAGCAGAGGCTCTGTGAACTTCACTCGGTTTCCTGGGCATACAAGCCAACCAAACAGCTCTCCTGTGTTCTAGTTTCCAGCTATTGAGGTTGACCATAATGGTATAAAAGGTCAGGTTGGGGACAATGCTGGCAATTTCTGGGTTTGGTGTTTATATGTAGAGAAACCGGAGGATTTTTTACCATCCTTTGAAATCTAATTGATTGACAGGACAGGTACTCTCATGTGTTTCACAACTGAACTGTCCACACAGAAATGCTCAGTCAGATCAGTGACATATTTTAAGTCAAATACTGGGCTTATGTATATTCTGTGAAACATTATGCTCTATGATCAAACAAACAAAAAAAAATAACAAAAGAGAGATCCTGCTGGTAAATATTCATCAAAGTTTGATAATCCAACTTGCTTTTATTAGTCTACAGAAAATCAACTGTTCTAGCCAGAAAAAGCTTGCCGTTTTCACAATCAGTGAGGTTTTTAAAGTTGAAATTAGAGGAAGCACAAAGACTTAAGAAGCTATTCAAAGACATGAAGGCTTATTTAAATGGAGCAAGGTTTCGGTTTTATAATTTTGAGCTTTTTACCCGCTGTCAATGGATACATTGCATAGCAGCCTTTTAGAAATCTCTAAATTAATTTCATTATCTTTACTCAGCAGGGATGTCTCTTTAATCATGTAAATTTTTTAAAAAGACACCCCTAATGTCTCTTTAATCATCTTATATTAAGATCTCCTACTAATGGCAGGAAGTATAGAAAAGACAATATTTAAGACTTTTTATATCTTAGTATTATAGTTCCTAGAGAGAAATCTAAACTGGCTCAAATTGTTAATACTGGGCCAAAGGTTTAGAAAAAGCCATAAAATTCAAATTTGATCATTTATATTCCAAGCAGATTACTTGAATTAGCATAAATCCTACATGCAAACAAGATATTTGGCCAATTAGGTGCACTGACCTATTTCTATAGTGACGGTGACGTCAAAGGTCACAATAAGGATAAATTGTAATTGAGTAAATCAAAGATTAACAACTTGGTAGTTAATCAAAATTAGCTAAATAGTTTCAATCACATACATACCAAAAAGTTAACTGATTTAACACGTCAACAAAGTTTCAATAAGCTGGAAACAATTTTGATTTTAGGGCATTGTTTGTTTTGAAAGTGACCTTTACAAGTCAAAAACGTTCATTTTAACCCTGGAAAATGGCAGAACAATCGCTGAAAATATTGATTTAGACTCCAGAATATGATACAGAATATTAGTCAAACCACATTAGCCAGTATAAAATATAGGCGATAGACTTTTATTAAACAGAACCACCCGGATTTCTTACCTGATGTTTTGTCTCAAACATCCTCTTTGTAAAGCCGAACGACAGGAGCGAGGGGAGCCCACGGTGGCGATCTGAAGAAAGTCACTGAACGTCCGCACACCCATGGGTAACCTCCGGGCACCGGCTGTGGCTGCCATCAACCCGGCCACTCTCCGTGCGAACAACGGTGATCCTGGCGCTGAGAAGCCGAGCCCCGGGCAGGTTCAGGTCCCAACAGAAACACAGAGAATCGAAGTTCCGGCCCCGCAGTCTCTTACGTCAGAGCGGTTAGCTACACCGACGACCAACTGCCCGCGTCGCCGGCCACTTTTCAAAGCTCCCAACCGAACTGCGGCGACAAACGACGGTAGTCAGCGGCTAACGAGGCTAACGAGGTTTCATAACAGCCCCGATAAAACGCGACGTGAGGCCGCGTTGCTGTCCTTTTTCACTTTCACTTACACACACATCACCCTGTGTCTGCGGCACAAAATCTGCACTAAATTCAGATCCTTTCATCGGCTTCCGACTTGATAGATATGGTTTTGTTGTTAAAATACGCCCAGCTCCTGACGACCTTCTACTGCTAAATAAAACGCCGGTGACGGGACAAACTGTTCCGTACTTCAGCGAGTAGGTAAGGGTAAGCCAACGGTTCATGGAAAATATGCTGCCACCTACTGGACAGGGGGTGAAAACCCAGGGACATTTATACCAAGTCAGGTCAAAGGTTCGCTCTCTGCAGAATCAGAATCAATTCAGTCTAAATATATTCAGTCTAAATATAGACATGTGAATGCTTTAGAAAATACATTTTAAAGCATTCAAAAATTTCTAGTCAAAAGCATTATTTTATTTGCTTGGATATATCAAACAACTTAACAGTAATATCTCTGTCAATTGAAATGTATAGTTTCAATTGACTCATAATTTTGCTATAATATCTAATATTATAATGTATAATATATTGTTAGATATATCTCTATTTAAAAAAGAAACATTGGAATAATTGCCTGCTTTGGTAGATTACTAAAATAGTCTTATTTATTTAATCATTATGGTTTTTTATCTGCTTGTGTTACATAAATCACTTTTTGTTTTCGTACACATTTTCACTTACAATTTGTGCTATTTATGTTAAAATACTTTACATGGAATTGGAAAGAGGTTAAATTTAAATAAAAGATTGATATAAATGTAATGTTGATATCCATTTCTACAACAGTTAGTAAACAAGGAGCTGCAATAATAAAATCTTAAACACTTATCAAATAAAAACATATTAAAGTTTGTTTTCTTACTAAGTCAGCTCAAGACAGACATAAACTGCAAGTGGTAGCCATGGCTGCGGAGGAACAGGAACTCAATAAAGACAACAGTCTACATCATAAAAAGTATTGAGTAAAAAGACTACATAAGTACTGAGTAACTTGATTTTAATAACTGATTTAACATTTAAAAACAACATAATGGAGCAGACAAATATATAAAGATATGTCCAAATTTGTATACAACTACAATTTAAAAATACAAATAAATGACTATTACAAAACAAGAAATTCAGACATCAAAAACAGTTTCAACATATAACCTCACTTATCTCCAAATGGCACAAAATAAAAGTCTAACTGTGATATAAATTGTAGGTTTTTGTAGGCTTGTGGTCTTGTGAATTGTATAGTGAGGTGCTTTGGTTTTTCTGCTTACATGCCATAGGAAAAAGGATGGAAATTAGCTATTGTGCTAATTCCTGCATATTTCCACTGCCATGAGTAACGGTAAGCCAATGTTCTCTGTCCTAATGAAGTTAATTATATTATATTATATTATATTATATTATATTATATTATATTATATTATATTATATTATATTATATTATATTATATTATATTAATTTAAGCTGATGACACTCTTGCATTTTTAAATCATCTGCAAAATGATCTCTATCTATCTATCTATCTATCTATCTATCTATCTATCTATCTATCTATCTATCTATCTATCTATCTATCTATCTATCTATCTATCTATCTATCTATCTATCTATCTATCTATCTATCTATCTATCTATCTATCTATCTATCTATCTATCTATCTATCTATCTATCTATACATACATACATATTTGCTGAGTATGTTTTTATTAGTTTTTAGTTTGTGTAATGCCCTTGTACAATTAAATTAACAAACACATTGGCATTAAAAGCGATCATTTAAAACGTAAGGTTTTTATGTTCTCTAAAATCTCTAAGGTCTCGTTTGACCTTCAGGATAATTGTTTTACTCATGCGTATAAATGTTGTATCCTTCACGGCCACTAGAAGTCGACATTTCACCCCAGAAAGCAGAAAGCGGACCGCCACGCCTGTAGGCGGACCAGCGCCATCGTCAGACCAGACGCTGGATACAGACAACAACAGTGACAGACCGAGAGAGAAAGACCGCATTCTTTTTTTGCTTTCAGTTATGGGTGTAGTCTGAGAGGTGGAAATTGTAATTGCACTGCAGCTTTACCTCGAAGTTTAATCCTCATGAAGGAGCTCCGTCCTGGCTGAGTTGGGAGATGGGAGTACTTAACATCGCAGACCAGGTACGCTGAAAGGAAAGCCCTCCGTGTTTGGCGCAGTCTATTTGCTGGAAGGAATCTGCTCTAGTGCGCAACATGCTACGTATTCGCCGAACCACTTGAAATACTGCTGTTGCACATCGTTATTGCATGCATAGTTTTGTTGGTTTAGTAATTAGGAGGACAGAATTTCTTGCGTTTTTGATGTGCGGTACCGTTTTTGTGGTCGGAAGCGTAGCCTCGACCGTAGTTTGGGCCGGGGCCAGCTCCGTAGCTGCATTAGTTAGCTCGAGCCATTTAGCTAACGACGTAAGAACTGAAAGATGGGGCCTGTAGGCCTCAGCTTGGGCTTGGTCTAACTGCTGGAAGAAATAATGAAAAAACGTGACAAAATCAGTCCTACATTTAAATAACTGCAATTAACATTTGAAAACATAATATACAGTCATGCCAATATTTTTATGCATTTACTATCCCGAAAATATTGATATTTATAGCAACTATTTGAGCGGCTCAAATAGAGCATAAAGAGCGGTACGAGTATATTTCGAGTAATCGATCTGGATTAGCGTTAAGGTTTTGTTCTCTTTTGGTTTTAAATTATTATTATTATTGCATAGTTTTTATTTGTAACTCCGGGGTGTTCGTGTTTTTCAGCCTCCTCTGGTCCAGGCCATCTTCAGTCGTAATACTGAAGAAGTTCAACTGTTATTGCACAGAAAGGAAGATGTCAATGCACTGGTATGTGACAACAAGTACATTGAGTTTTGTTGCAGATCACACTGGATGGAGTCCCAATGTTTCACGTATTGTGTGTGTGTGTGTGCATGTGTGTGTGTGTGTGTTTTAATAGGACCATGAGCGCCGCACACCACTTCATGCTGCTGCCTGTGTGGGTGATGTCCAGATTATGGACCTCCTCATTGAATCAGGTGACTCCACTACATTTATTGCAGTTAAAAGTCGGTACCTTTTGTAGTCCAACATGATAAATGCTCCATAAAACCCAATCCCATCTCTAAGAGGGAGTGGAACAGCAAAATAAATCTTGTCTGTTTTTATAGCTAAAACAAGAAAATATGCATAAAAGAGGATTTTGTTTGCAGATTTTTGTGAATCTATATTGAAAATGGAAATGTATATCTTTCAGGTGCCAGTGTAAATGCTAAAGACAACGTTTGGTTGACCCCGTTGCACAGGGCAGCTGCTTCAAGGAATGAAGTAGGTGTCTATTTTAAGGGGTCTGTCATTTCTAGCTAATTATTTTTTACATTTGAATTATCTTTTGTGTCCAACCACAGTCATGTATGTTGAATGTTTTAATTCCAGGACAATTAGACAGAAATTTAAAGCAAAAAGTTTGTAACATGGTCTTATTGCTTATTTAAAACAGAAAAGAAACAATTTTCATCACTAAAATAAAGAACATTTTGATTAATGTACTGCTGTACAGTTGTAATAATATTGCCTACAATATATTTATTTAATTTTATAAGCAGAAGTAGGAAATGTAGGACAAATGTTTTCAATTAATCAGTGGTTTTGAAGTGTTTGTTGCACAGAATGTGTTTGTTTTTGGTTCTTTTTATATAGTGAGCACCTCAAGCTAATATTTCTTCGCTCATTGGTTGGGCTATTTGCTCAAGTAACCAGTCTGCTGTCAGCTTAATTTAATTCATTTCATTAGGACAGTGCATATTGATCAACATTACCAAAATGAATGGCGGTGTAAGTATCCAGGCATTAGCACAATAGCTAAGTTTCAAGTAAGCAGAAAAAGCAAAACTCCTCACTGTGCATTTATTAGGACAGAAAAAAATAACAACACTAAACGAAAGAAAGGCACTAGAAATAACTAACCAACAGACAGAAACTGTATAAAAACAAAATACAGACTCTCAGCTATAGACTTTCCACTAATGCTTGAGTTTCTTTTTAAAAAAAGAAATTGTGTAGTTTTAATAGTCTCTGACTGCTTGCCAGTTGCAGTTTTCAAAATATTGTTCATATAATAAAATTGACTACTTTAAAGGTACTTTAGTTTCTACATTATGGTTGTTCATTTGTCCAACAATAAATACGTTAAAATGGTTATAAATTTTTTTTCTTACAAAAGGGGAACATGTAGTTTTTCAGCAGTGTGTAGCAATATGTGGGGGAGGGGCAGGACTCATTAGTTTTTGCAAGCCAGACATAATTTCTGGATCTTCCTCTCGCCTGTCATAAAAAATGTTGCTGTGATAGAATGGAAGACTTGATGGTGTTTAAACAAACTGTACATATTTACATAGCTTACCTCAATGCTAACAAGCCATTTCTAGCTGAGGATTAGTGGTTCAAACGGGGACCCTAATGCTTCAATTAAAACTCTTAACTTTTGGTGGTGGCTTCCGTCTCTCCAGAGAGCAGTGGGTCTTCTGCTGAGGCGCGGAGCCGAGGCAAACACGCGAGACAAGTTCTGGCAGACGCCGCTGCATGTGGCTGCTGCCAACCGGGCCACGCGCTGCGCAGAGGCTCTGCTGACCCAGCTGAGCAACCTGAACATGGCAGATCGCACCGGTCGGACTGCCCTGCACCATGCGGCTCAGAGTGGTTTCCAAGAGGTGAGGCTGCAACGATTAACCATTTAATGTGTAGAGATGACTACAAAGTTAATTTCTGTTTGTTTTATTTGTTGAACAGATGGTGAAGCTGCTGCTGAACAAAGGAGCCAACCTGAGTGCCATTGATAAGAAGGAGAGGCAACCTATTCATTGTGCTGCTTATTTGGGTAAACAAGTTTCTATTTCATGTTTGGCTGAAACGATTAACTGTGACTAATCAATTAGCTTTTAAATAATCATCAATTGATTTAGTAATCAAAAAAGAAAAAATTGCCTAAGAAACAACATATTGAGAGAAGGAATTAAGCCAAAAATGTACAATAATTAAACACATTTTGTATTTAAGATAAAAAAAAAACCACTATCTGTAATTATGTTCTTTGCAGTTTTAGGTTCACCTGATTCAAATTCTATAAAAAGGAAAAAAAAAATGAAAGGAAAAAAGAAAATCTGCAATTAAGCACTT